ACACACACACACACACACACACACACACACACACACCCTGAAATGTAGATACCCCTTTGGGATTCCAGATCTTTCTCCAGATCATCAAGGATTGTGTTTATCCTAAAACTCCCAAACCTTTGGGATGGAATGCAGAATGAGAATTTCCTTAAGACAGGCCCTGAGGGCATTGAAGATCCCACCAGATGAGAATATTCTCAAAGGAACGTTGAGGAGCCCTCTCTGAGGGCGCACTGATATTATCAGTTGTTTTGGGACCGAGGAGGAGCTTACACAGCAGATGTGGCTAAACTTAGAGATTCCTGTAAGGGAACACGAGACCAGCAATACGAAAGCAGATACTTTCTTCAGGTTTTTCTTCAGAAGGGTCAACCTATTTTTCATAACTTGCTTTGTTAGGATGAATTTAAATATGCTAACTATTTTGTTTCTTTCAAAAAATAACTCAAGCAACGGGTGAAAGGGAAATAGAGTTAAATATTAGATATAATAAGAGAACAATAAACGTAATTCCTAATCTTATCACAAATCTTTTGTAATTTTTTTTTTAGTGTGTTGCTTATGCATTACGCATAGCTGCTTCTGTGCTTTGTGGAACTGCTTTGCAATAAGACATATTGTCTTATTTTTTAATGCAATTTTAAAGTAACTGCTGAACAAATGTTATTAGTAGCATTTCCATTTTAACTTCTCTTTTTAATTATCCGCTGACTTCAGTGGTTTCTGAACATGGATTTTGTAAAGCCTTGAATCTTTAGAGTCATACAATGGTAAAGAGGTCACCTGTATTTTATTCCGGTTTAATGGGATTGGTTAATTTCTCTTCTCCATCTAATCTAGATTTTAAAGAGAGTAGTCTCCATTTTATCTATCTTAATAATTGAGATAGTGAGATAATTTTATTCCAGGGATGGTATCTTATCATCTGACCAAATAACCAACTAATCAAATAACAAAAATATTTGAAGATTGCTTATTTAGTCGACACATCTCATTTAATAGATGAGGTAAGTAAAGAACTGAGAGGTGATATCATTGGTTGGTTGCAGGAGGTCTGTTTTCCCAAGAGGCATAAAACTGGAACCAAGGACCCATTTCTAGTTCATAAGCATGATAATTGGGTTTTCATGCGTTTGTGTGGCCTGTGGCTCCCATAAACTTTGTACGACACCGGCACATTAGCCATCTCTGTTAGTCTGGGTAGACTAGAGAAACAAATCCAGGGAAACTCACATGTGTAAAAAAAAGAGCTTTATATACAAGAGCAATTGAATATTGAGAAAACATCCCAGCCAGTCCAGATCAAGTCGATAAGTCCGATATTAGCCCATATGTCTGATACCAGTCTATCAGTTCCTCTTCAGATGCACGCAACACATGCAATGACTCTGAGTGCAGGAAGATCACAGGCCAGTGGGTGGAAAGTCTTGTGGATCCAGTGGTGGTGGAAGCATCTTAGCACTGGTCTGGGTCTCCATGTGGCTCCTCCAGCTCCAAGGCTCTGGCTCCATCAGGGTGTCTCCATGTGGCTCATTGTCAGCAATGTCTTGCAGAGAGTGAGTGTGTGTCCTGCCTGTAGAGAGCTATTTATCTCCTTAGCGCCTCCAAATGCAGCCAGCAAGCAGCAACCTGATTGGCAGGCTAGACTCCACCCTTCCACTCTTAAGTCTCAAATGACAACAGGTTAGGTTACCACCATCTGCCATGAAGGAACAAACAAAACAAAACAAAAACGAACCAAGGCAAAGCCACTGCCATCAAATCCATTTTGACTCCTAAGGTTTCTAAAAGAACAAATAGGTATGGGGGAAGACGGCCTCATCTTTTCCCTGTGGAGCAGCTCGTGGGTTTCAACAACAGCCCCAAACCTGATTCCCTGTGCCACCAGCACTCACTAGGAGAAAAAGAATAAAACAATTACTTCTATATGGGGTTTTTAATCTTCAATCGGTATGAAATTCTAAACTAAGAACATTTTTAAAAGATTTCTGAAAATTTTAGCAAAGCAGGTAGGAAGGACTTTTTTTGTAAATTACTCTTCCCTGATGATATTTAATATGTACATTTCATGGTAGGTCTTCACGTAGATTACTTTTTTAATCTGCATGGAAGTCTCTATGTAGTGATGGAATTCTTCCAAGAGTCAACATCTAAAGAAATAAGTTGGATTTTAGGAAGACAAAACCTGCAGGGGGGCGTCCCCATGTAGATTAAACCTCCTATAAACACCCTAAGACCATCAACCCGGCATGTGACTAGTCTTGTCCCCAGACAGGGGCAGTGGCAAGGGGATTACTGTAGAGAGAGTTAAACCTCAACACATTATCATTTGTTTTCCCCTTTGACTCAACTTTCATTTGTTTTAGTTTCTATTATATTCCACTTTCTCTTGGTTGAGGTTTTCCTGTGTTATTGTTGTTTTTGTTATTTTGCTGTCATTATTGGGGCTATTTTTGTTGGGGAGAGGGAGAATTGGTTTGATTTTCTTTATATGAAACCCAGGATAGGTAAATCTACAGAGAAAGTAACTAGATGACAGAGGAGCTTGACGGGTAATGGGGAGCTAATAATGGTTGCAGGAATGAAGAAAAATGGATTGTGATGATGATTGTACAACTTCTAATATATTTAAACCATTGAATTATATGGTATGCTAATTATACGGCAATAAAATTGTTAAATAAAGCAAGTAAACATTGTGGAAAAGCAAAACAAATAAAAAACCCTGCAGGGAAAAGCAAATCAATGCAATAAAATTGAATCAGAACCCCAATTTTTCTTAGCAGTCAGGGAGAGGGAATGCAGTTTCTATACCCCAGTCTCCCACCCCTAACCCCAAAGAAAAAAAGAAGGTTCAGATTCAGAAATTGGAGGGGAAACAAAGAAAAGAAAGAGAGGAAGCAATACAGACCACTAAGTCAACGATTTAAACCAGTACACCTGACATGAGTGTTTTGATCATTATTAAGAATAGTAAGAGCTTTATTTCCCCAAAACTCTTCAAGAAAACTGAAGTGAGGCTGATGAAAGAAAGGATATTTGATTTTAGCAAGAACTCGGAGTGCATTTTCCTGAATTGTGTCTCAGCATTCTACTCACTTTCCTGAAAGCTCTTCTGAGTCTGTTGAAAGCAACTAGAACTTGTGGGCTCTGCTCATTCCACAATTCTTGGGTCCCCTCTCCTGTTAGGATGAACTTGAGTTGATGAAATTACTTTTCTGTATAGCTGACAGCTCTTGCTCTGGGTGTGCTGATTAAGTAACTAGCCTGTCAGTTACATACGTATTTAGGATTTATTAGGAGCGAGAACTCAACAGAACATGTCAACTTTCATTATTAATTACATGGCCGTTCTTTTAGAAATGTTTAATACTTCTAGGAAATAAATGTGATTATTAACATTAACATTCCCTTTGTCTGAAAAGATAAACATAGTTTCATCAGGAATTGCCAGCTTGGTGTTGTGGGGTAGAGGCAGGGTTTCAAAAGGTTGTCAAGGCCAATTTCCACTTGGGAGCACTGCCATCAGTTCATCCAATATTTAAACAGTAAGCAGACTGGGAAAAAATCAGAAGATAGATTCTAAAATCCTTTTGTGATAGCACACAATTGCCACGATGTTTGGCACCCCTAGAAGAAATTGCCATTTAGTAGCAAAGAAGTGAAGTTCATCAAGTTTATTCATTTTAGGCACTAGAGTCAGCTGTAGTTATAATTAAGACAAAGTGCTCACATTTTGTCTATAGTAATAAGATGGAAGGGCCATTATGTGGTTTATGTATCTTATAACAACTCTCCTGTCCAGAGATTGGATGGGACTATGCGAATGAGGTGCTTATACCTATCAAAGAGATTGCAAAAGTACAAATAAGGTGCATGGCACCCTTGTGAGGCTGGGACCATGGAAATAATTGTATAGAACCTTACAGAGCGAATTGGTAAACTTTGCATTCCCAACGCTGCCCTCGAGCGGACTGACTCATAGTGACCTTGCAGGGCAGAGTGGACTTGCTCGCGTGGGTTTTTGAGACGTCAAGACTTAGGAGAACCGGAAGCCTCTTGCTTCTCCTGCTAAGTGGGTGGTGGGCTCACCATACTCCACATCACACGAGCAGGGTCCCTTCTGGAATTCAGGGTTCTTACTGCCTTTCACACAACGTACTTCAATTTCTATGGTCTCAGTCTACCTGTCTGTGTGCGTGTGTGTATGTTCTCACCAGTCTGCATGTGGTTTGATTATGAGACCCAATGGAAGGGTGGGAAGGCTTTTCAAAGCTTTTAAAGTTTTTCATTTCTTCCCATCTCCTAATTTTAATAGCAATGCTATTTGATAGTAATACTGTTGTTATAGAAAGTTTGATAACTTACCAAGTATATTGAAGAAAATAAATACCACCCAGGATTCTTCTGCTCAGAAATAAACAGTACTTCAGAGTTTTCCTTTCCTCACATTGTACAAATTGAGATGTCTTATTAAGCTAATAGCACGAACAAAATTTCAAATCTTGCATTTTAATTTTTTTTTCATTTGACACTATATAATTAATTTCTTAGTTGGTTAGACATTCCTTAAATTTAGGGTTTTAATCATTGGCTATTGTATTTTATGTTTATTCTGTCATAGGATTTTTATAATTAATTTACCCATTCTCTATCTTCTTTTTCTTTTGCAATTAGAAACAGCATCCTTGTGCCTTTGCATTTCTCTGGCACGGTTTCCTTAGGATAAATTCCAAAAATTTCAACTTCTGTATTTGTATTAGTCTGGTTAAACTAGGGAAACAAACCCACAGAAACTCATATGTATAAAAGTTTTATATAAAGGGTAAGTGTACATCAAGAAAGCATCCCAACCCAGCGCTGTCTAAGCCCATAAGTCCAACATTAGCCCATATGTCCGACATTGATCTATAAAGTCCTCTTCCATCTCACAAAACACACACAATGATGCTGACTGCAGGCTCACTTCCTGCGAGACATTCCTGAGGAGAAGCCACATGGACCTACCCTGATGCAGCCCTGGGTGCTGGAGCAGTTGTGTGGAGACCCCTGCCAGCGCTGAGATGCTTGCACAGTAAACCTTAACCCTGTCGGTAGTAAAGACTAAGAATCATGTAAAGTCTCAGATGCTTCCTGCTAACCTTCTTCCTAGAAAGACTGGACCAATTTACATTGATCGGAGGTTCTTCTTTCACGTGCAGAATAGCTGGTAGTTAGAATTCAAAGTGATAAAAAGGATGCCACCTCACTTTGTAGAAATGATGAAGCCAAGTTGTTCCATGGTTTCACACCCCACCTCTCCCTGCAGAATGGTGCATTAGTTCACCATGTCAGACCCAATGATACCTGGATGTTCCTATTTTTTTCTTATCTTTTTCCTTTTCTTCTTCTTCTGGCTGTGTGTGTGTGTGTGTGTGTGTGTGTGTGTGTGTGTGTGAGAGAGAGAGAGAGAGAGAGAGAGAGAGAGAGAGAGAGAGAGAGAGAAATAGCTCTAATATGAAATTTCTGCTGGAAATGGCTAGTCTCAGGACTGTACTACATTTTTAGTAATTTACCTGTACCTGGCTGCTTAGGACCTACTGCTTTATCAAGGTGGACATGGACTATAATCAAATTCAGAGATCAGATGACTCTAAATCAAATTCAAGGTCATGGTTAGAGTCAACACCTGTGTCGAAATCTATTGGGACTGTCATCTATTTTGTGTGCTTAGAGAAAATGCACATTTACTCTTTTGAAATGTCATCAATGTAATGTGTTAAATAGACTAAAGCAGATCCAACTCCTAGATAATAGGGGGAAGTAGAAATGATGACTGACAAAGCTGAAGTTGATACAACATGAGTTTACAAATATGTTATGTAAGCAGAGCTCAGAGTCTCACACTGTCTCATAAGAACAAACAGTACGGAAATGTTTCAAACTTTTGTTTCCTAAAAATAATAAATGAAGCTGTGCCATGCATGGCCTTTCATCACTTTGTCTCTCTGGATAAAGAAGCAAACTGTCTATGGTCGAATTCATACCCATAACCTCTAGCTCCTAGACAATGATCTAAATGCCAGCCATTTGAATAGATGCCATTTTAAAAATTATTAATAAATAATTTTATTGGGAGATCTTACAGCTCTTATAACAATCCATACATCCATTATGTCAAGCACATTTGTACATATGTTGCATCATTCTTTTCA